TTCATGAGAGCAGTGTGATATATACATGAACTTGTGAAATTCACAGTTTTCCCTAAGATGTGATCAGCTAGCAGAAAATTGGGCAGCTAAACTGTATTCTTTCACACACAGTGTTAAGAAAAGCGGAGGCTAATGAGTCGTTATGGCCAAGAGTAAATTACTAATTAGCCTGCAACTGTCTTTTAAGGGACCCCTTGAAATATTTTGTAAATAACCTTATAAATATTATTCTATTTTAAATATTTAAAAGGCGGTGGTCGCCACGTCACGTCGTGTTCAATATGGAACTCATAGCAACATACACTACGTGTGTTATGTACATGAATTTTGAACACGCACTGTGCATGACCACAGCCTTTAAGATTATCATGTATTATCATATTGTAATTTTTAATAATAACCAAATGTTCTATTTGCATTTATTTCCTGTTTAAACCAGTCAGCTCAAAGGTTTCAATAATAAGTTATTTTTTTTACAGAACTGTTCAGCCAATTGAATTGAACTCATCATTATGCCTATTTTGTTTGCGGTTATTGCTAGAGGGACTACGGTCCTAGCGAAATATGCTAGTTGCCAGGGCAACTTTACAGAAGTGACAGAACAAATCCTGATGAAGGTTCCTCCAGAGAATGCCAAGTTGACATATACACATGGTCATTATTTGTTCCATTATGTCTCAGAAGATAGGATTGTATATCTTTGTATAACAGATGATGTAAGTTATGACTTTGTGTCTTGAAGAAGTGTTTCACAGTCAGATGAAAGGGATTTGGATCATCTACATGTTGCTCTGAAATCAGCTGGATGTGATGCAGTACCATAGTTTCATTAAAATAGGAACTGCATTGTACAATTTTTTGCTGGTAATGCATTTTTTGATTCCAAAGCTGACCCTCCGACAGGCTGTATTTTACTTTCAATATCACATTAGATGCCCATTGTAGCGTCATCGTTCTTCATTTTTATCATGTATTATACTCACAACATTCTGTTCATAATAATTTGATTCTTAACGTTGCAGGATTTTGAAAGATCAAAAGCATTTCTTTACCTTCAAGAAGTCAAACAACGGTAATTATTATCTAGCAACATGTTGTATGTCTCAACAGTTAATGACATATGTTTGTGAATGTACACATATCTACGTAATGTTTGCTTGGAAATACCATTTAATTACTGTATTCATAATAGTAGTATATATTGTATTACTTATTTGTACTTCATGCCTCAAAATACCCTTAGCACACAGGAGTTGTTTCTAAAGTTTCTTTGATTTTTAATTGCAAGTTGCATCTTACATAAGAATTTGTTCAAAGTTGATCAATTTGTACATCAAAAATAGTTATCTTTGGTCATTATAGCAATCACCAAGTTTATTTTGTTTGACTGAAAAATCTGAAATTTTTTTCATTCTCTGACACAATTCTGCCTATATCTTACTTTCATACTTTCCAACTAGGTCCAGTCTTAGTACATAATCAATCCAAGATGGCTGACTGACAGCTTTTATCTACTTTTATTTCAAATGGGCAATTTATTGTTCATTCAGACTTGGAATGTAGACAGTTATGTTGTTGTTATTGCTTCCTGCACATATTTCATATCATTTATTGACTCATGGAGCAATTTTGTTGAAGTTTCTTACCTTGACATTATAATATAATTATATTAAGTGTATTCATTCCACATTGTAGGCCACAGGCCCTGACGTACATACATATTAAGTAGGATTAAGGATTAAGTAGGGCTTAGGTAATGAAAAAAATAAAGCAAGCAGAATATATTGACATTAATTTGAGTTTTCAGACAATAATGTGGTTAAATTAATAGCGCATTGCGTTTCAAAAATGCATGCTGCACAAAAGGTGCTATATTAGTACAGTTTAGAAGTTCACAAAATGTTAGGGGATGTGGATCTTTCACGTACTATTCAGGAATATATTTGTCTTTTATGTTTTTGAAAGCAGGGCATGTTAAACACAAGAGATATTCATCTTCTGTGACTTTGTTGATACAAAAAGCACAGGTTTTCTCCAATCTGGGGATATTAAAATGTCCAAAACATTTAGTTTACAGCATGGAGCTAGAACAGGTATGAAAAAGAACATATAAATGCTGACCGTTTTAAATTTCAATGGCTTGCTCAGTCTATATTCCTTGAAATAAAAGTTGCAATGATTAATCATTTGGTCTTGTTTTTTACTAGATTTACAACGATGTACGGTAACAGATCTCAGACGGCATTACCTTTTGCAATGAATAGTGAATTTTCTAGAGTTTTACAAATGCAAATGGTAATTATGATTAAATAAAGTAAAAAAGTAATTAGTAATCAGAGTTATTATATTTTCAATTTCCTGTTTATATTTTAAAGTTTAATAATTTTTACTTGAAGAACAAAAATGTTTTTTATATTGCTTGAATGGAGTTTTGATTTTTTTTGACTGAATCCATTTATAATTTGAGGTTCTTTACCTATTGCAATTTAGGCTTTAGTATATGGGAATAATATTACAATTCATTGATCCATTTTTTTTAACTACTTTAACTTAACTAAAGAAAGTTTACTGTCAAGAAATGTAAATTGCTCAAGAAATTAATCTGTCACGATGTCATGAATGTTTCGAGTATGTGCTTCGATAACCATCATGACCTTTGTTATATTACTACAGAGACATTACAGTGATGGCTCTGATGGAGATAATGTATCAAGAGTACAAGGTGAACTGGATGAATTGAAAGGAATTATGGTCAAAAATATTGGTAAGTGCATGCAATGATTATTTTATATATAGAACACCCATTGTTATGGTTTTCATTCTGTTTCACGCAAATAATGCAGTGATAATAAAACGTAATGACATAATGTGTAATATGACTTAAATTTGATGTAGGAAAAGTTTTCATGCTGATCACCATTGTACTTCACCCTCTAATTACATCTGACCAAATCATTATCCTACAGCAAGTCTCAGAAGTATTGGGGCAGCCAATTTGCAAACTCGCTAGTGAATTGACTAACTGCTTGGGTTTTGACTAAACGGTTGGCTTTCGAATCTCGCTGGCACCGTCTTGCGGCCACGCCCACTTAAGACGAATCTATGTAACAGTAGAGGGCTGATCCTCATACTTTATGAGCTAATCAGCGACGGTCTTTACAGTTGGATGGCGATTTCGCTTTAAAT